ATTTAGAAGGTGAGAGCAGGAGTTTAGTTTCTCTTGAACAATAAATGATATACAACAAACTACATTTTGGGAAAACGTGTTTGCACAAAATGGAAACAAGTTAAGCTGCATTTTAAAGGATAGTGTTCTAATTAAATCTTTAACACACTGGCATTTTTCCACTTTGGACTACAACTCTTTGTAGTACTCTGTACTCTTTGTAATTTGTTTCAGTGCTTAAAACATTTCAGGTGAACATTTAGATTAAAAGCTGATAATAACCACTGAAGTAGAATTTAGATCAACAGCAATGCTAAAAAGAAGATGTTGTGTGTGTGTGCCTACCTGTTGGTAGCACGAACCTGTTACTGATCTATATGATAATCCATGTGTACAGTCTGCTGTATGTGCGCATGCTTTTTTTAGAGAGCAGTTAGAAAAGACAGATTTAAGGGCAAACGCTGCTATCATTCAGTTGCACATCCACACTTGAAATAAATACATAAATAAATATATAAAATTTGATGTGATTTAATAAATAATGGGAGGTAAATTGAAGAATAGAACAAACCCAAAGATAGTCTGTGATCTCCATGACCGATCCCTGTGCTGTGTAATATCATGCAGTCAATGAAAGCAGCCAGTTTGATTAGAGATACAATACAGCCATTGTCTGAATGCGTATCTCGTCATATTCCAAGTGAAATATGTAATAACACGCTTTCTCCGGCTGATGAGCCCGAGAGGCAAATAACGTCTTTGTAAGTTTTCATACTGCAGCAGTGTATTTTGGGTTGTGTGTTGAAGGGGGGGCGCACAGAGATAATCTGGCAACAGTACAGAGACTCTGTGTTTGAATTATCTCCAGCTACTTCTGCTGGGCAATGTTAGATAAGAACCACCACTGTGTATTGCACTAGACGAATGATTTATCGAGTACAGGAGAGATTCTATTATGTGAGGTGTAGAATAACTTTGTTACAGTTTTCAGGCGTACAGTGACATAGCTACTATCGTTAGAAGTGCAGAGGCTCCCTTCTGATCCGGTTAATGCACAACAGATGGACACTAATACAAAAACCCCCTTGAGATACAAACATCAGTCCACATTACTGGAGATGGCATGTCAACGTTGCTACCAAACCAGTAGCAAAAACAAAATTTATTTTTGTTGTGCTTTTCTTCAGCCTGCTGTTATTTCAGAGTAGCATGTATTATCTCATTTTAGTGGAAGCCAATGTTGGTTATAAAAAAACAAAATATTTGGGGTCATGTATAAGATATTTTAATCTATTATTCATAACTTACACCAGCTGTTCAAAGGTGAGTTGTATTAAAAGTCAGCAGATGCAGCCTGAGCATCTAAATTTATGTTTTTGGAGAATTGGCAAGGGGGACTGGCAAGTCTAGTAAAACCAAATCCTTAGGCTTTTACGCTGTTTCATTCTGCTCTTTTGTGTACTTGCACACAGCTGACCCTTGTTAAGCAGTGGCTCATGTACATATGAGCGTGCGCAGACAACGGGAAATGTGAACTCACTAAAATGACAGTTTCCCTGCAATGTCAAAAATGACACTTTATGAAAGCTTACATGGCAATTAGTTCAGAATTTGTGAATTTATCATGTAGCTGATTTGAACTTGTCTATGCATTATGAATGTGTCACAAAGTGGAGTTTGTATTATCAAATGAAATTGGTAATGTGCTATTACTATTTCCATGTGTTGAACCTATAGTGAGCCTGTGCCTTGTTCTGTGTCATTGTGAGGAATTCACCAGGGGGAAAAGAGAAGAGAGTTTTTGTTTTTACATATAAATACAGTAATTACAGTGCTTTTGTCAAAATGTGTCATTAATCCTCGGATTGTTCTCATTTTGAATTACTATTTACACATGTTGCCACAAAGGAACATCATTTGTGTATTTTCTAAGTGCTAAGAAGAGTGTTAAGATTTTGATGTTGACATTTACATTTCAGCTCCCAAGCACAAGAAGGGGTACATTTCAAACAGCAGTCTCTCCTCAAGTGTACGGGTGGCTTAAATGCGGGTGGTTATAATGACACTATAAAATGAACAATGAATGTAGATAAGAGTCAGTAGTGATCTAGCAAGTCAAGCTCTTGGAAAACGCCCAAAGCAATTAAATTAAAGCAAACATTTCATAGTTATCAAAAGAACATTCCTTCCCTTGCCATGTTTGTGTTTGCTCAAAGGAAAATCCACATGAGACATATCTGTCCTTGGAGTCGTGTTTTTATTCAGGCTGATGATGCAGGTCGTGTCCTTAAATCCAAGAGGAATTTCTTGTACCATGTGCAGATCCAGACAATGTGTGTTCTTTTCCCCCCTTAGTCCCTTCTTTTTTGAGGTGAAGGATATTATTTAATCTGCTTGTTTGGTTGAATCCGCTGGCTGTATGCTTTTCATATTGTGCTGTCTCTTTTGTTAGGTTGTCCTCAGCAGGCCGTTGTACCTCGAAGGTGCAGGTCACTGACCCCGTGAGATGTCCTTTATGTCGTCTCCTCTGCACTTCAGTCGTAGACCTGCCAAATAACTGCCGCCTCTTACTAATCTGTGCTTTAATATGATACATTTGTACTGCTTCAATCCATATTTTAAAAATGTCAGATTCAGTCAAGAGGATTAAATCCCCCTTCAAAAAGGCCCCCATTTCCTTTTTTCCTGATTATTAAGACATGAGCGCTGGTTGCACTTATCAAGAGCCGTTTTCTTCCTGCACAGGTCCAAGGCCAACCACCTGCAGTAGAAAGGATTAAGATATGCTGAGAAAGAGCGCTAAGCCTTATTTAAGTTAATTGAACATGTTTATTTCCTTGGTGACATTCAATAATGGACAACATCTGCTGTAATTGTACCTTAACAGGAAGCACATTTAAAAATGAATGTACAATGTATTAGGAAATATTAAGAACACCTGCTTCTTTTGTAGTCTAACTAGTTGAGACCAGGTGAACATGATCATGACAATTCCAATTCCCCCGCTTTCTCCAATGTGTTGACAAGGTCTGTAATGGGAAGGTATAATAAAATATACCAAAACTTATTTATTTACCGTAGTCTGGGGGGAAATGGTCAAATCTCCACATTGGGGTCTGTGAAGCCTTTTTTCCCCTCGTTTACAAGGACAGGTTTCTCCGTTCTCGTGTGCCAAACAAGTATCTGGTGAGAAAATAAAACAACAACAGCAGCATTACAGCATGCACTCATTAGGTCTGCTCTCCCTTTCAGCGCCCACTCAGCCTCATGTTCTTCAAAACAGTCATTTCCTGTTATAGCTCCCAACAGGACCTGTCTATGTGTAAAGAGATGCTTGAGCATGAACCCTGCGTTAGAAGGGAGTGAAGAGGGACCACAAGTGTATTATCTGACAAATATGACACAACCCTCTCAGCTTGGCCCATGTAAAGCCCTCTCCTGACCATAGGATAATGGCTACCTTCAAATGACAGCCGACTCAAAATGTTTCCACACAATATGTAGGAGCTCTTTGCCTTTGCAATAGCACTGCAGTTCTTTGCACAGTTTTTCTGGGTATGCTATTGTGCTACCAAGACTTCAGACTGGGTTCATTTGGCCCCAGAGACAGGACAAAAATCCAGGAAAAGGATGGCAAGGGGAACGGAGGGGGGCCAAAAGTGTCAAGCCCATTTTCCCTCTTCTCTGTATTGGAACCCTCCTTCCTTTCATCTCACCGTGGCGGTGTCCATGAATTATGCATAGGGCGTGTTTGAGATGTGCCAGGAGCCCACTCCCACTTTGCTCAGGTGTAGGGGGAGGTTAATAGTCACGCTCGCATCTGAAGTGGTAGATTATAAGGAAGAGAGATGCCCATGCACGACTTTCCATTTTTTTTCTTCCCCTTTCCATCCCGCCGTTCTGTCCATCCCTGCGCTCATCTGTAATCAGTGTGACGTCCCTACCTCCCCATTCCCCCCCAACTCCAATTCCGCTCTCTCAGCCGTTCCCTGAATCACCTCTTTTCATTTACCCCTCTGAATGGCTGGGGGAGAGCAGGAGAAAAAGCTGGCTGAAAGTATCCCCCCCACCCCCACCCACTGCTCTCTTTGTGTGTGTAGGGATGATTGCAGTGTGAATACTGGCTAGCTAAACCCCTCTGGCTGACTCCTCTTCGCCCAGAGAGAGGCTTAGTGATGTGACCCAGACCAAAGGCTGTGGTGGACGAGGGCATGGAGAAGAATGTTGCCGCTGCTGCTACCCTCAAACCTCTTACTCACATGTACGTATGTGGGCAGTGCGAGAAATCTAATCAATGATGTCCAACTTTTCAGCAACAAATGTATAGTAATTTACATTCGGACCAAGGGTGTAACTATGGTATAGACATTATGCGAGTCCAAATGGGAACCCTCTGCTTAAATTTCTTTTTAAAGTGTATTTCCCACAATTCTGTGGTATTAAATATGAGCGTTTTGCACATTTAGAACATAGTTTTGAGGACTACATTTATCATTTATATTCACATTTAAAGGAATAGTGATTTCTCCAGGATAGTGGTTGCCCCTCCACTTCGTTTTGTTTTGGTCAGTTGCTTACTGTTACTAAGTTTAAACACACCTACCAATGAGAATTATGCCTTTTCCACTAGTAGTGAATAGGAGGGCTTCTAATGGCAAAAAATGACATAGCCCATCTCAGCCTCTCTGTGTGTTGGTTATACAGTTCGTTAACACTGTGGATTAAGGATTATTTTGACCATTATTTGATGATTGTTGAAACAGTGGAAGACAGTTTTGGTGAGCTATATTTTGTTTCTGTCGAGTGTGAATGAAGTGTGACCGATGTTTTTTTTTTATGGGGTCTGTTGGTGAGCGAGAGTGTTTCTGGTTAAACAAAAAGAATCAATTTAACAACAAAGTCTATCTGTGTAGGGATCCTTCCCATAATGATGTCAAGACACTTGAGCAACAATCTGAGCCTGTCAGTGGCAAAAACAAGCACTTTAAGTGGATGTACGTTGACTGGCTTATATGTCCCCAGCAGCCATTGCAGCTCATTTTGCAGCTGTCAGTTGAAGCATAGAGTCAGAATATTTTGGTGTATTAAGGGTTTATTTTGACCAAACCAGACTGGTGACTGTTGGAACAGTGGAAAAACTAACATTGATGGTTTTGGTGAGTTTTATTTTGTTTTTTTCGAGTTTGAACGAAGTGTGTTTAACAATGATCTGCGAGGTAAAACTTTTCTCAATGGAGTCTGGTGGGCGAAGATGAGAGATGCTGGTGCTCTAGTGCAACATTTATTTTCTGTGAATGTTATATAAAGCTCCTTTAAAGCAGCAGTGGGTAATAACTGAATATTACAATGCAAAACCTTCGTGTCTCTCTCTGCTTTGCTAAGCAGGAGCCGGTTGCCCTGCAGTCTCTCCACAGCGAGAGTCTCGCCAAGACCCTGGTCCCTCTCGCATCAACTCGTGTACTCAAAGAGAACTTTCGCAGCCCAGGGTACAGCGCCCCAGGCTTCAGAAGCAGCTGCGACAGCGTCTAACTGTGTGATGAGAGGCTAGTATGTCACTGTCGCCCCTCAGAAGTTATTCCCCACTGTTTGAGGTCATGCCACTTTTCCACGTCAGTACTAGCACCATGGCATGAGTGAGAGCATGTGTGACAAGGGGGGATGCGTAGAATGTGCACAAGCAGAGACTCCTGGCATTGGTTGTTTTGACCAGGGAGCAGTGTTCTTGCAGATGGCGTTAGCAGTAGGAATTTTTCTCAAAATAAAATTCTGTGCCTTTACACATTTCACATTCCAATTTCTCACCTGATCATCATCTCCAGAGCGTGTGCCTGTCTGGCCATTGCTTTCAGCATTCATGTCATTTTTTCAAATTCATGCAAAATAGGGGAGGACCGGTGGCCTAATGAATGTGTTGATTTTTGTTATTTTTCAGTTCAGGGAGGTTAATCAAGTATGTTTGAGGCATCAAAAACATATAACCCACATTGGAAGTAGTCACAGTTTATGAATAGTACTGTATCTTGCATCATCAAGGCAGTGTGCTTGCAATGGTGTTAGTTGCGTAAAGCTACAAACTTTGCTATTGCTCTGTAGCTAAGTGTGACATTCAGTAGGGGGCCTAAATTTTAGTTTCGTTCCACTTTCTTTCCTCTCTGACGGCCCCAAGAGCTCTGCGTCTTGGGTCTGTGTACTGTGTGATGTCTGTTTGTATCTGCAGGCAATCAAGGGAACTGGGAGCACCTGGCCAGTGAGCCCAATTATTTAAGCCTGCCTGTATAGATGCTAGTGTTTGTTCCTGCGCCTTCCACACTACTGGTATCCACACCTCATTGTTACCCTTTTGTTGCTTGCATATTAATGTCAGTTTATTATTGTTAAGCTTAGTTGCATCTTCCTCTTTTGTCGTGGCTTGAGAGCCGGGACGTAACACCTCTGAATCTGAATCTGGAGAAAAGCAACTGCGGCTGCCGGACTCGGTGACTGCAGCTGCCTTGCTCCCGCGAGGATTTAATGTCATCTACTTTTTACTGCACTACATTCATTTTACAGCTGTAGTTACTCGTTATGTGACAGATTAATAGTTAACATTCCAAACACGAGTTAAAAACCAGTTGGTTTTGGCTTGTGACAAAGCAGTGTGAAGTGGGGGCTCCATGCTTGTTTTAGATGCCTACGAAATGTTAACTGTTCCATTAAAGAGCCATTTTGTCATGGCCACGGCTGCGCCCCCAGTGTTGTCTTGTGCTTTCCTCTTCCCTGTGTTCCCAGTGCGTTCATTTATTTAATAAAATACAGGCACATTTACTTCACATTGCCTTTTAGTTGATGGTTTACTATTTACATTGTGCACTTCTATCGGTACCCCTGTCGTTGTATGATGTCGGGATAGATGGATTTCTCGCTAGTTTACAAATAGGAACTATAAGTGACGTTCCATGGTACTTTTTCTAGTTGGACGTTGGAAATGTTTGAGTTCCATATTGTGTGAATGCAGCATTAGTCTCTATTCCTAGCCTGTCGCTAACTGCCTTTCCCTTGTGCCTCAGGATCATCTCTCATGTCACTGCTTGTTGCCTGCCTGCTAACCTTCAAGATGCCTGCCTGCTTGCTAACTAACGTTTCCCTGCTACCTCAGCAAACCACAGCTCTTTTCCATTCTCCATTTCTCCTCTCCACTCTGCCATAATCAGCCATCCTGTCCCCTCAACCCATCTCCGATTACTGTAATTATTCAATAATTCTGTTCAACTTCGCCTGCCTCTAAGTATGTCTTCTGCACTTGGGTCCCCTTTTGAACTAACTGGAACACATTTTCCCTCAAAATCTTGCAGATGGTTTGATCTAAGTAACTGTTAACCCAGAGAGGTCAAATTATCCAATATTTCACACACAGAAAAACTAGATTAAGTACAAAAACAGATTTGTGTATCAGAACTTTGTTTTCACTTTTCTACATCATTAAACAGCAGGGCCTAAACAATTTTTATCTATGGTACTGACTACAGCAGGTTTGATTCCTTTTTAACCTCTCAAACAGTTTTGCAAATTCCTAAACTCCTCATGTCAAGATGCTTAGTAGCAGTAAACATAAAAAGAAGGAAATTACCTTAGTGCAATTGGCTGCTTTAGGCTCCAGGTCATTGAGTGTGACAAGTTCCCGGAGCAAACTACTCTCCTGGTATCCTCCCTTCACCCCTCGAAGCTTAAAATACGCCTGTGGCTTGAAGAGGATGAGCCTCAGGTTGATGGCAAAGCCAGCCATGTCGATAGCAAAGGGCCGATGGGGGTCGAACACAGTCTTCCAGCCATAGACCTTTCCAGCTGCATTGACTTTGGGGGACTCATAACGTAAGCCGCCCACAAAGGCCACAGGCCACACTGAAACTCTTCGAGTTGATCTCATCTAGCGAGAAGAGAGTCAAGAAGACAAATAGAGGAGGGAAGAGAGCGAATTAGTCATCTGAAAAAGTGTACATGACAGTTAGACACAGTATTTGAGCATCAGCTGCCAGTGTTACAGCTTACCACGAACGGAGGGTTTTTAGAGCTGCTACTATTATTCATTCTGAAAGACGGTGAATATTGACCAAGACATTGTGCCATGTGCAGCTGACGCGCTGTTAGATAAAAGCAGATCACACACATTGTCCAGCAGCTGCCATACAATGAGATAATTAGACACAACCATCTTTAAAGGGAGTAAATGCGGACCGCGCCAAGAGGCTTTGAAGAAGCCAAGTCATTACAGCAAGTGGCTCTAGTCGCTGGTTGGCTGAGGAGATTCTTTACGATACAGCACTTTTTTTTTTTTTTTTTGGTCCTTTAATCTTCCAGCATCAAACGATCTTGCTGTCCTTTTCTTTGTCTGCCTCTCAGTGAGTCTTTGCCATTCTGGCAAGAGCTGCTGCAGTCATAAAAGGTCCCTCATCGAGGGAAGAGGAAGATTTAGAAATTTAATCAAACTCAATGCAGCAGAAATAATGATGCTGGTGTCTATCTAAGATAAAGGTGTAAGTGTATGTACAGTATCTAGTGTTTGTTGATAGTACATTAAGTTCAAGATACAGTAACAGCATGCATGTAGAAAATATCAATTCCATGTCACATGTATTTGTTAAAGCATGCATTGTGTATTTTAAATGTGTGTTTGTACACATCACATGCACAGTTGCACATGAGCTTCTGTGTTTAGATTGGTGTGTGATCTGATGGGCTGCTGTGTGGTCACTTCAGGGGATGAGTATGAACAGCATGAAGCAAGCTGGGGGCTTATGGGAATCTGGATTTGAGTTTTAGTGAAAAAAACTGTGCCAGGCACCCAGATAAGATTTGGCAGGATGTTCGGTCTTAATGGGCTCTCAGTGTTAATGGTGGAAGAGAGATCAAGTGCATATATGCATGTGTCCATGTGATTGAGCCGCATCATTTTATACACAAGATCACATGTTTGTTGGCTCTTCATATTTTAATTTTTTCTATTTGTTACATGTCCTTTGCCAGCAGTGCTCTGTTTTGTCTCTTACTTTTTCCTGTATCAACACGTGGATTTAGTTCCCAATAACTGCTGCTGGATGCTGAGGAGCTCTCTTTAAGTGCTTTCCTCAAGGTTGTCTTGCCAGGTTTTTTGTAGCCAGGCCACACATGAATCCAGCCAATAAACCATTTTGCCCAAACATTGCCTGCCTGCTTCCCCCAACCACACGTGTCTACGTGTACAACTTAAATGAAAAGGAAGCATACATCAGGCTTTCTGCAGGCCATGTCAAGAGGCTTGTCATTTTCCAGCTATAATGAAAATGAGTGTTCTGCCTGCTACCTCTGGTGGGAATATCAGCCAGAGTAAAAAAGCAAATGAAAACGCTCCTCTTGCCCCATTCTGGTTAATACAATGTGTTTGTACAGAGTTTTGTTTTGTCACTGTTGCTATAATTTGTATATGAATGGCAGTTTTTGCATTTAAGGTCTACTTCCTGCTCCACTCTGAGAGAGACCTTCAGAAACAGTGTTTCAGAATAGTCAGAGAAGCAACACAAAAAGTTGGTAGGTACATTAATCAGTCCTTAAGGGTGCAGAGATGATGAAACAAACCAGACTTGTCATCTATTGCTATCATTGAGGAGTCTGGAATTAGTTAGGTAATGGGATCCTTCTTAAATTTCCATTTCATTATTTAAATTGTCTTAATTAAAAATGTATTTTCACAATTTGTAATATGCAATTAAGCTGATATCACAATTTGCATTGCAAAGGATGTCAGTTGTCTATCTAAATTTCAAACTTTTCAAGTTTTATTTATTTATTTTTTAACATAATAAAGCAGAGCTGGGTGTTAGCAATATATTTTTGTTAAATATCAATTGAATACCATATATAATACCAGACTGTTCTCATCTCAGGTTGTCCAATACCAATGCTTTCAGAAAAAATGACAAAAATGTAATTTTTTGACGCCAAATGTACCCTTCAGTGTCTAAGAGAAGCACAGGGTGCGTCTTTGACACTCTTCTGGATGCATCTCTGAGACGCTCTGGGGCGTCTCGTACAGACTAGTGATAGCTAGCTATGTTCGTGTTAAAGGTGTTGACAGCCCCTCAAAGCCCCCTACCCTTAACATAACCATCAGAAATGTGGCGTTTCATATGGACGCTGAAGGGTACAGTTACGGCGTACTGAGATGAGAATGCGTTGATTGTGATATTTTCATTACTAACGATAGTTTCTGGTTATGTGGTTGATCCATTCTCTTGTACTTAAGTTTATTCTTACAGGCTGAAATATTTGAAGAACAGAAATTGTTGTTTAAAAATAGCACATGCTTAACAGTAAATAACTTTGCTTTGGGAAAGAAACAGATTTTTATGAAGCCTCAACAATTCATGTAGTTCTTTACAGAGAAATACATTTTTCATGTTTTTTTTGTAATTATTTTCATTAAGGCCTAGCCTACAAAGTATGCATTTAATAAAGAACTGTATGTCCCAGAGCCACTGAAAGACTAAGAGTGTATTCACATTGTGGATATGAATAGGTAGCAACAATAGCAATCTACTTTGGCAGCAGATGTGATGTAAGTTCAATTACAACAATTCCCATCAGGACTTTTGGCCATTGCAGACTATTCTGTGAAGTGATCTGAAATGCACTGTCACTGTGTCAGCTGAGGTGAATTCTGCTGCTCTGTATGTCACTGGTGCTGTCACAGACTTGTGTGGCTAGCACAGTGTGCGAACTATACCATGGCTTTTGGGGCAGACATTCTTACTGCTGAATCATTAATAGCTGCAAGCATGTAGGCCTGGGCTGACTGTGAAAGTATCAGGCATGATTGTCTTATTATTATAATAAGAAAAATATTATTATTAATATTATCATATGTAGCCATTTTGCTACACTTAGGCTTCACACAACAGCTGTTTGCGACCTGACCTTTCTTTTCTCCGCAAGAGGGAAGAAAATGTTGCGTGGTGCTGCGGAGAGCCCCCAGCTGCAGTACTGCATGGATCGTGCCTAATGTCCAGCCAGACGGAACGATCATGAACTGTTTACAGCGCGTCGGCCATACTAGCGACACAACCCGTACCGGAGAGGGAGTGGGAGGAATGGTCCGTTCTGTGTGTGCACTGAAAATAAATCTGGTGTTTGTACTTAGCCCTGACTCTGTAAATGGGGACCAAACAAAGGGGCCCCACCTTTAAATAAAAGTGATACAGCTGTCAGCAAACTACTTTTGACATTTACCTTTCTTCATTAAGCAGGTACAGTAGAAAATTGAAAAGGAAAAAAAAAAAAATTAAATGAAAGATAAGCACTGATTTTTTTACTTTAAGATTAATTAATTTGGCGTAATTGAAACATGATACAACCACTCCTTCATGTGTTGAAACCATAGTCTATGGCAGGGTTTGAGTTATATTCTGAGCTTCGTGGGGGGGTCTCTAATATAGCCTAGCCTATTAACTAACGTCACAGGTGTAACACCAAAATGTGTGACCTATCAGATTCTGTGACTACACCCAAACGACAATATTTTCCTAACCATAACCAAGTACTTTTGGTGCCTAAACCCAACCAAGTACTTTCGTTACTTAAACCCAGCCAAATACTTCTGGCGCTTAACTTGTCATTTGGGTCACAGAATCTGATAGGTCACACATTTTGGTGTCACACCGGGAGAGAGAGAGAGAGAGAGAGAAAAAAATCATTTCAGCATTTCCCTCTCTCACACACACGCAAACGCACAAACGCACACACATCAGTCCACTACTTGCCCCGGAAGTCTGCGATATTGCAACAAAGTTTAAGTTTCAATAGCGTGAAAAATGCCATCAGAGACTAATGCTCAAGGAGAGAGCGTAATTCTGCCCTTCATGGTAGGTATAATATTAAAGTGTAATTATTTAATGCACTGCTGGCCACCGGCACACAGTAGCAAGCATATTATCATATGAAGCGCTGTACTAATTGGAGGATGCATCAAAAAGCCAAATAAGCTGCAGTCAATACGTAACGTTAGTCTAATTGAAGTTGAAAATGTTCGCTGGTCGCGGCCTCAGCCTGTTGGTTCAAAACTGTGCGCTCCATGGCGGTTGATGGTGGAGAAGTGCAGCCACCCTGTCAATCATGCGGTGCGCAGCGTAATTCATTAGACGGTATGTTCATTTAAGTCTATTTTTAATGTAATATAATAGTAGGTACTATTTACAATGAAAAATAGGCTACATTATTTGTGATTCAAAAACAGTAGAGAGGTTTTGATATTTCCTTTGTTCAGCAGCATTTTCATTTGGTTTGATGCCAACAGCATGTCAGCATGTTACTAGCTCTAAGTAGTTTAATTTTTTAAATAATTAGATTTGAATATGTTTTGTAATTGCTCATAATCAAAGAGTTAGCTAACTTCAGACTAACCAAGAGAAAATGATGAGCCTATTTAAAACATGGAGCAGTGCACATCATTCTTTCAACCTTCTCTCCACACTGGAGGAGTCACTTAAACGCCTCTGTCTTTTCAAGCTGTTGAGACACGGAATATTTACTATGGTGTCAGCAAACTACAGACGTTTTACTATGGTGTCAGCAGACTATACTGTAGTTGCAGTCAACTCGATGCTTCTGGCTGTCACCTTCTCTTTTTTGCTCATTCTTTTCTCCCCCGCCCCCCCCCAGGGGCCGTTACTCTGGTCCATAAATAGGCCTGTTGGAGGTGATAGAGGGCCTCCGAGGGAGACTGAGCACTTCGGCTGATTCCCAGAGAAAGGTAATGACAGGCCCCGTCAATACTCAGCGCTCCATTTACTACGGACCCCGTCTGCACTACTAACAAGACTTGAGGCTAATACTCGGAGGACCCAGACCATGTCCGCTCAGGTAATTCAACTGATGTCAAGATGGATGGCCTGAGATGTACTGATTACATGCCCAAGCTTCTCTCCACTAGCTCCACATGTCTGACTGTGCTTGTTAAGAGCCAAAAAAAATGCTTCAAGTAACTTGGAATTTATAGTTCAATCCCCCCCCTACATAAGACACCACAGACACCACTTTAGTATTGCTGGGAAGTGCCGTATAATATAGTGAATATATATTATACAGTATAATATTGAACTACAGTTACAGCGATGGAGAACGTACAATTTACAAAGTACAACATTTACATTTGTGCACGTTGACACCCCCCCCCCCGATCCAGTACAACTCCAAATACACATGCATCATTGGCAATATCCCTTTTATAAACATGCACTAGAAATTCAGAGCCACAATATAATACTTTGTCCACCTCATCCTTTCCTTGAGCCTATTTAAAAGTGCAGTCAGTTTTATTTCACTGGATCTTTGCACAAAATAAGCATAATATATTGCTGAGGGCTCACATATTTTTGGCTTTCAATAATCAATTCCAGTCACTCCTCTGTTAGCCGAGTGGCTGCTGAGCTTTCAAGCTTTTCTAAACAGGCAAAACCGGCTGACCTCTATGTTTTTGCCGGGAACGGTTCAATCTCCCAGGACCCCTGAATCACCCACCATGATAAATTTATTATAAATATATTTTGCCCCAGAGATCCCTAAACATGAATAAAATTGTGATTACTGTGATTACTGGTTGATTGGCTGGTCAAGAAGCAACTTGTTGGAATGCACTGAACGCAATCAAAAACAAGTTAGAACTCCACTGCTGAGATATTTTGGCTTCTAAATGACTCCATAGGAAAGAATTGAACATTTAAATGTAATTATTTGATTATTCTGCTCAACTCAAATGTACGTGTTTGCATTGGTGGTTTGCATCTGGAAATCCAAGTAACACTAAGCACAAATAAACAGTAGGACATTTTTCAGTATTTCAGCTGGGACTGGTGAACTACTAAAATCATACAGAAATACACTTCTAATAATCCCGAAAAGTCCTTTTGGTCCTTTTTACAGTTCAATCACAAACCGTGATGTCTGCGCATGGTTTGTTTTTCTGAAACTCAAGTGGACATCAGTTTTGCAGCAGGTGCGGCGTTGGCAACATACGTACAAACCTCCTGCCTGAGTATCAAACAGGAGGTTTGGTTTCAGTGTCAGATTATAAATGTTTATGTTTTATTGTTATGATTAGGTTTACGCTTAAAGTTGTAAATACTTTAGAAGGTTGATCAGGGTTAGAGGTGATTGGGTTACAGTAAGAATCTGGGCAGGACTACCATTTGTAAATGTAGCTATATTGGGATCTATAAGAACGTTTAAACAACTGTTATTTCTGCTACTTGTACATGCTAGCCATTGTTTGCTGTTGATGTAACATAGTAAACACCCACTCACCACAGCACCTCATTGAGAAACATTTTGTTTAGATCATACCGTACTCAAATCATTGTGCCAATTCCCCGAGAGTTTAAAAAAAAATAATGCATGAAATGAAGATGAGTGATTGAGCAGCAGTGATGTTGTATACCAGCTCTGACCTCCTCAAACAGCTCCAGGCTATATGTGTTGTCGTCGTCCGCAAAGTAGACTATTCCAGCTTGGCTGCTGTTGGCGTTGAAGGTCTCCCTTAGCCACCGCAGGGCCAGATTCCTCTGCATGGTCCCCCTGGGGATTCTGGGGTCCCGAGTGTCACCCCTCAGCTTATAGTTCCTGGGCGTCTCTACATTGAGGTGGGTGTAGTTAAGCCCTGTTTCTCGGAGGAGCCGCGTCACAAGAGGCGTTCTCCTTTGGGAGTCCTCCACCAGGATCCAGTGCAGGTTTGGAACATGGAGGAAGGTGTTTGCCAGCCTTGTAAGCTCCGCCTTCTGCACAGGTCGACTATATGTGGGGGTGATGATGTGGATGGTAGGCAGCACGTCGGACCATGGTGGAGGCCGTGTATACACGTACTCTGTCCTCACCACCTCCACAATGTCCTTATCTGAGGCACAGTATTCCTTGGAGTCCTGCGCCTGGCCACCTGCCTCCCTCCTGCCCTCAACGCCATCATCTGTAGATTTGGGGATAAGAAGACATGTAAGGCATTAGTGCAACCTTGGGCTGCTCTTTGTATATTTGCCTCAGGTGACTTAAACCCAATGGGGGTAAAGTGTACCTGAGAGCCGGTGGTGGCGGACTGCAAGCCTCTCTGGAATGATAAAGATCTCTTTTACTAGGTGGTGACAGGCTGCAAAAAGTGAAAGCAGGCACCGTGAGAGGATAACACAGCTGATGGACAGAGAGACAGCGCAAGGAAAGAGAGGTGAGAGATGAGTCCTGCTATTCCCCCAGCGTTGCCTTTGGGCTTATTTTTTTATACAGAAAAAAATATGTGGGTATGTGGATCCAGTTGACATGCCTTCTTTTTATGTTCAGACTCCACCACAGACTCTGTTATCCTTTGCCTGGCCCCGCCATTTCCTTAGCTTACTACACGTATCTTACTTTACTACATCAAACACGGCTATGACTGATTTTGCTCAAATCAGGAAGTCCTAGTGTTCACATATAAATGTGTTATAAATATATATTTTTGCCCCAGAGATCCCTAAACGTGACTAAAATTGTGATTACTGTGTGCTGGGTCTTGCAGTTTGATTGGTACTGTTATGAAGTAGCAACGTTTTGGAACTCAGTTTTGGTTGTTTGCATGGACTGAACATATTCAGAAACAGGTTAGACCACTGCCAAGATATTTTGCCTCCTAAATGATGCCATGGGAAAGGGTTGAACATTTTAATGTGATTATTTGGTTATTCAACTCTACTTAAACGTATATGTTTGCTTTGGTGGTGACTACACTTTTATGCATACTGGTTATGTGGAGTCTGGAAATCCAAACACAAATTAAAAAGTAGTAAACTGCTTATTTTTCAGTATTTCAGCTGGGAGTGGTGAACTATACCAAAGTGAGATAAACATAAATGAGCTGCTAAAATGTCTTTTTAGAGATCTGCCTAGATATATGCAAGGAAAACTTAAAAATAACACTGAAGAATTGAAGCAGCAATTGTTTGGTGCTTTGTCTGTATCCTCAATGGCTCCAATGACCTGTACAGACAAAAAGCCACAGATGGTCTTCAGATACTAACAAAGACTTTTCTTTTGGGTGGACAACACATAAAGTGTTTTAACACTTTCCCAAGAAACCTTTTGTAGGTGTTTCCTTTCAAGCAAGACCTTGTCTTTGCAAGTTAGTGTGTTTCATGACCTATAGCAATTTTTTTTTTTGGGTCCAGCTTTAAAGTGGCACGTAGGGTCAGTCCAGCAGTGAATGTTCAGGTGAAATTCTCTGGTTATTCAACCTTTGACTGTCACTAACATAATTAATAATCAAAGCTCCCAGCAGCCGTAGCACTACAATAGAGAACGTTGTGCTACTAACACCCAGATTTTTTCTTGTTTCTTTCTTCTATAAGAAGGTAATTATAATTTTGAATGATGTATGATGAAAAATTTGACCGTTTACTCAAGACTCGTGGTGAGTCAGTCAGCTGACACACACTGAGTTGACTCCAGTGGTAGAGGCTGTGATACTTTGGCCCCAATAGTTTGGTCATGATGGATAGAATATGATTATAGAATCATTAAGGTTGTTAATTTATTTTCATTGTGCCACAGCTAATGGCAATCTTTGTCACTTTCAACATAAGGAGGATTTTCCTGCGGCACATAGATTACCACAATCTGCTGATGGCCAGATGTTCAACAGAGGCTGCCAGCGAGCACGCTGCCAAAAAACCTCTAGCTTCTCTTTTAAGAGCACACAAAAGGAAGCCTGTGTGTAGAGGTGGGTCAGATAGCACTGGCAAAAAAAAATCACTGTGTCCAAAAAGATATAAAAAATGACTGTATGCATTTAATTGACAGGACCTTTTGTATAAAAAGGGAATTTGGTGAGGAAAAACAATATCAGTATAATTTCTTTTGGCATTCTTTTCTATGATTGTCAACCTAGACACAATTTTAGGTGTGCAAATAAACTGCAAAACAAATGATTAATATAATTTGTCACTTTGGTTTATTCCAAACTGCCTTCGGTCATTTGTGTAAACCTGTTTTGTTAACCCGTATATGTGCCACGATGCCATTATAAGAAGAGGGCAAAGAGCCCTATTGATTTGCTGTCGCTCTAATTTGGGTTTGTTTACTCTGCAGCATACTTGACATTTTACGCTGTTGGTTTGTGGTCTCTGGGGGATGATTGGGAGGCTCATGAGTATGTGTATTAATGACTGAGGCTGGTGTACAGCTGATATTACACATGAAGGCAAGATATTCCATGAAGCTTATCAAGTAGACATTTATTATGTCAAATTGCTGATTAAACAAACTCTGAAATTCATTTCCACTGAATTTGAATGAGTAGAATTGAGCAACAAATTTTAAACCTTAATTGAAGGATTGAAGAACTGATCGATCTGCTATTATATACTGCATGCTGTATGTATGTGTGTGGTGGAGTGTCAAGCCAAGAAAAAAATATGGATTGATGGGCCTTGGCATGTGAGTGGATAGGTAGTGAATGCTGTGAAAGGATATTGTTTCATAACATGCTGTACTGCACACATTATCAACATAAGAAAAATGAATGCAGATTAGAAGCAGCTGAACAATGCATTATATTCAACTGACACACTGAAAATACAATATAAAAATAACTGAGTGTGTATATGAGATGGTAGCTTCTAAGTTTTCATGCACATAAACAGTCCACACTGATGAGGTTTACAATGACTGGGCAAGTGTTATTGAGCTCTGATGAAGCTGATGGTCCTGGTTAGTGAGTGCCTCTAAATGAATGGCTGTTGTTTAAGTGATTTGAGGACCCACTTCGGGTTTGATATTGCCAGTGGAGTGCAGTGCAGTGCGTACCCTTGCGGATGGCGAGGAGTGGAGCTATAGCACTTTGGTGCCAAACAGTGATGAGCAGAGTCCAGGGTAACACGATCAAAACGATGGCAAGAATATCTCTTCTCTTCGGCATCTCCAGGATTGGTTATTTGGCTCGGCATTACCTGGAGAAAAAAGATGGACGTATTATCATTCTGAAAAACACAGGAAAACACAGGATTTCAGGTCAAGTCACTTTGAGAACCTTGGAAAAAAAATTTATTTGAGTTGCGCATAACAAACATTTAGACAAATAACCTACACCAGATTAAAGCAAACACACATGTTGCTAAATCTCAATAACTTGGGAATTGAGGGATACATTCACGTGACCTTAATTGTCATTAACTGCTTCAGAAACACAATGTCAGGCACTGGGAGGACACCCATTTATAAGGAACAAAAGTGTTGTTGAGGAAAGTGGAAAAAAGACCTTCTATGACTCACAAATTGTGTAAGAGTCTAGTCAGAGCTGTTAAAACAAAAGCACCATTACAGCATCCCCAAAAAACATTAAGAGTGATGATGGAGCAGGTGATTGTTGTTCAACCTATACAGAAAATTGTTAGACATTAAAAATAAAGGTTGTAAAATAAAACTGTAACTCAGTGTTGCACAGACAACGAAGGCAAGGTCAAAGCCACTGGAGGAAGCCATGGAGCTGGGGCTTGTGCCCTCTGCCAACACGATGAGCTCATCGGTGCCATCGCTGAGGACAGGGCAGTGAGTTCAAGCCTAATGCTGAAAATATTCACCGGCCAAATGGCAGGAAACGATGTCACCAGACTGCAGGTTGACTGTTTGGCAAATGTGCCCTTCCCTCTGAGTCCAGATCATTTGATTCAGCTTTGTATCCCTTGAAAGGTCTTATTATAGCATGAAAGACATTAACTGGAAATTAATAGCATCATAGCATCTACAGAACAAATGAATGTCACTTTCCATAAAATGTCATTTATATATGATTTCATAATTTGATTGAAATGGTTATGAGAAATTGTTGAAAAGCATGCACTTTCATTAAAAACGTTGTGTTCAGTCTATCTAACTGCATTTCCAAACTCACTGACCTCATTTTACATCAGGCTGTATTACCCTGTATTCTTCTGGTCCTGTCTAAACGGCTTAATGCTACTTTTCATGGCAGACTGCTGCCACCAACTATTACTGATTTCCATTTGATGACTACATACATGATATCATAATAAAACACTAGGGCTAAAGCTACATGTCCCAGGCAGGTCAGCACCCTCACCTGCTGATCATCCAAGTAGAAGACATGGAAATCAATGAAGTAAAGGCTTTCTTATTACAAAGAGTCATTTAAGCTAGAGTAGTGCTAAAAAGAAATGTATATGATACATATTATAAAACCTACCAAATATCTTTTTCTACCCTGATATTGCCATACCGCACCGCACATTTATAATGACACACTATTCATAGCGTGCCATGTTCAAATACTTTATTCCTTGAAGAAACCATAAATATGACAGGTTTCCTTGAAACACATTCATTGTTCTTTCACATTAGATCACTTCCACTGCAACTTCTTCCATACGGAAACATTGGGAAGGATACAAGTTAATGGCATCCAAACAGATTTTTTGTTTCTTTTTCTGAGAGAAACACAATACAGATTTTAGGGGAGAACAATTCAACTATTCGAGATATGGAGGTAGATATAGTACATTTCTGAACTGGAATGGAAAATAAAGAGCTTTTCTATGTGGATTATGCATTGCTTTTGCACCGTATGACTATACAAATGTACGTACTTTTGTTGTGCTTTCCAACCTCACATCACTACGTCAGTGTTGGAGTCAGAGCACTTTCTACAGGATAATGTCATTTAAACACATTTTCTGTACTGCAAATTCTTTTTACATATAGGCCACATACGCATATGGGTTGCCTACCACTATTTAAAATGCTATGGATCCTCTTATTTTTTTGTCTTTTTTTTTCCTTTTTTGTGTAGCCTATAAAAATAAAATATTTGGATTGCAGTTTTATGACTATTGTAGTGTTGGGCAATGGTTAAAAAATGTAATCACGATGAATACTGAATTCTAAAGTAGTGTACTGCGCACCTTTAATTTCAATGTTCTCCCAGTCAAATAGTTTTAAAAAAATCAATAAGGTCAATAAAACCTATACATTTTAGTCTTTGCAGGAGAAGACCATGATCCACTGAATCACACATGATTTTGTATCATCCTGAGCAGTATTAATATCATTACCAGATAATAATATAATATCATTTGTAGTTATAGTACTATGTCCTTGTCTAAAACCTGACTGACTTTGACTTTTTTATTATCAGACAATAAGTATTCAATTACAAGGGATTCAAATACTTTAGCTGTAACAGACAGTCTGGAAATAGTATGATAATTATTCAGGATAGAGGGATCTCCACCTTTTAATGAAGAAAGAACAAATGCTGACTTCCAAGAGCTGGGTATCAAACCACTGCTTAGATTAAGAAAAAAATTTAGGCAATAGGTCTCGCAATTATATCTGTAGCTATTTTATTTAAACATGGTCTCACTTTGGTCAGCAGACTTTTTTCAGTGAAGACCTGTTGTAGTTTTATAAACTTGAATTGGATGAATGCAGAAAAAATGCAAACTATTTCCAGGGCAAACTTGAGGTGGTAGCTTCACTGTCTTAAACATCTACTGGGACTTTTGAGAGAGTGGCTAAGCCTGTTTTGATATTTAGAAATGCTTGTGTAGTATGCTTTTTTTTTTTTTTGATTTACCTTTAAAAGATCAGGAAGAGTATTGGTGTAGTATGTTTGTTTGGGATTGCATTATTATATTTCAGACTCTTATTATTTATATTTATAATTATATTATTATTGTGTCCACTCCCCGTGCTATTCTGCATTGCCACACAGCTCATTTACATTGATTTTAACAATCATAAACCACCTCATCTCTCCCAGATTCTATTTCTCCTCCTTCTTAATGGGCGTCTGGCATTATGTTACCTGTCTAAATGAAGTTATTAACTGATCAGCACAATTAAACAAAGGAGAAAAACAGACATAATGTGAGCACAGGTGTTTAGAGTATTAATTTCAGTTTTCCACATGAGGAAACAAGTCAACACATCACTGTGGGAAAGTGATCCTGCTCCCACTGCTGGGGAAGGCGGCAGTATATTGAGGCTTAACATAATTGTACATGCCAATTATGTTTATTGAGCTCTGTAAATAAATACAACATTAATGCCCAAGCCGTCACGTGAGAACGTGAATGTCACAAACCTTTCACCATAGACATGCTTTCTGCTGATAAATAAATTGGTCCTATAAAGTTTTAAAGTTGTATTTCAGTTAAGAGGTAATTTACAGTGAAGTCTTTGTGGGTGGCTCTGCTTGCATAGCAAAATACTGTATGTTGTACAGAAAATTACATTGCCAACATTGCATGTCCTTGAATGATTTGTTAGGGAATTTTATTGATAAATGCAGTCAAGGCATCCTTTTAAGCCATGTTCTGATGCAAGATAAAGGCAACCGACAGATATACAAGCTTACACAATATGAAAAAAGTAATCAGCGTTTGCACTTAAGCATTTTAGACCTTTTCATCATGACCTGAAATGCCGTTATTTTACACATGCTTATAAATGCTGGAAATGTGAATTATCCTTTTATAGCCTTTAAATATGTCTAAACTATCAGAAGCAAATAGAATAATTTCCAAAGGGAGAAAAACACTTAATTTAAGTAATTTGCCATGCAATCTGCAAAGCACTCAGGGAGCACAAACCCCCACTAATTCTGAATATCAACCCATCTGACAAAATTGCTATTGCTCACTTTTGATGTGAAATGGATTTCTTGACCTAATGAATATACCCGTAGTATTGGGGTTTGTCTCTCTTGGCTTTATAATGGTGGCTTTTAATGGGAGAAAACCTAGAAGAACATTGTCAGTCTAATAAAATATTGGCCCAAGCCAATTTTTTTAATCAAAAAAGGCAGTTTCAACAAGGGGGGAGAAAATACAGACCGCCTTTATTCGACTTGACAGGGATACTCCAACAATTTAGTGTTGCACATCCATAAAGTTGGAGATTAAAATTAGAATGGCCAAAATCGAAGCAGCAGAGCCCAAAATATCATGCTTTAGTCCCTAGCATAGGTCAAGATCCCAACAACCCTGGATCCTATTTTTCCCATCATCCAACTCAGTAGAATCTATTTTAGACCCTCCCTGCCTAGTAAATACCAACATCTTTCAAACACCTCCAGTTTTTAACTTAGGCTTTCTGAAATTTGTAGTCTCTAATCCAAAACAGAGATAATTCTGATGACGTCACTATGATATCATCAGGCTTATTTTTTCAGACTTGACACCTCCAGAGCCACAGACAACATTAGAAAACTGTTATCACCAGTGATATGTAATATCAGTGGAATGCATCTTTAATAACATTGCTTGCATATGGTTAATACAAGCATATGAATGAAAAAAAGGCTTTGGATGCTCACCCACAGTTATAACTGGATCATGGCACCACTGGTGATGCGCAGCTGGGAAGACCACACTGCATACTGGACGAGCTACGTAGTAGTGACATCCTCCATGACACTTCAGCCAACATTTCCTCTTCTTCTGCCGTGTCTACTCACGCAGACAGGCAACACTGAGTCCAGACCTGTAAAATAAGGACATTTCAGTGAAATGATTCAGTGATGACAGATCGTGAGTGCTTCTCTCTTTATGTTTTCACAGTGTGTACCTTCATGTGCTGCTTCTCTCACTCACACCACCATGAGACATTCAAGGACAGCCAGCCAGGTTTAAACATAGCAGTTTGGACAGGGTCTAAAAACCAAATGCCTCACAGAAATTCTTTGCTATTGACACCTTCATGAGCAGTGTGGCGGTGTGACGTCTCTCCATTTTTTAATATCAGAGACTGGAGCCTGGGCTGTAAACGTAGCTGAGGAAATGTGTGTCAGAATTAAGTAATGAACTCTAATTTGGATGCACATCATTGAGATTCACAAGAGGAATCCCTCCCCTGGTAATATACAACTGCTTGTGCTTTCTCATGTGAAATGGTTAATACTGTAAGTATTGATAAGTCATTTTACCTCAGTGACTCCAACTGCACAAAGACTCAGTATTTTCCCTTTTTTTCTCCTTTTTATGCCTAATGTGAAAACTGGAAGAGGGTTAGTCACAACTCCTCTGTTTGCCAAGAGTCTGGGGTGAGGGATGTTACAAAAATAAACTGGCATCATGTCTTATTCAAATACATCTGAGGGAATGCTGCTTCTATGGAGACTTATCCTTCACTCAGCCAGTGATGTCTGCACACAGCACCAGCTCCATAACTGGATGGCTGTATTTTTAGGGACTTTGTAATAGAGAATCATATAAACTGCATACAGTACATTTAGGTTTTGGGGAATAAACAGCAGGAGTCCCAGAATCATTTTACTGAGGCATGCTGTTGTATAAAATGGCAAATTGTCTGTGACCCAGTAATGCAGTAGGGGGTGTTTGTGTTTGATGTGCAAAAAATTTCAAACAATCTATTGTCATATTGCTCTGACTCATTGTCCAATTTCTAAAACTGAAGGATCATGCATCTGAGGATTGACATCAGTTGTGTGAAAAAAGGAATGAAAAATGAATATGAGAAATGGTCTTAATGGGTTAGTGCAGCTTCTGCAGTATTTGCTTTTTATGACAGTGACAAGCAAATACTGTAGCAACAAAAAAGAAACTAAACAGCAGCGATAGAAAGGCTTTACAATTGCTGCCGGGTACTGTCATGGATGCAAACTCGCAATGACAGTGTTGTTGCTCTGATTTCTGTATAACTCCCCTCTTCTACGCATTGTGATGGAGCTAAACAGAAGGAAACACAGTATAGTACAACAACCTGCCAAAATCTCAGACCCTCCAACAGGCCACTGCAGTGTCTCAGTGTTAAACAATTTTTGAAAGAAAATGTTTGGGAAAACAAAACATTGTGTCAGACGCTGCCAGCTGAAGGGGGCTGGAACTCATATGGCTGTTTTACAAAACATGCAGAGCAAAAAATGCTTGTTTTGTGATATGAACGCATTCATTTAAAGTCTTGATTTCTTCTTTGGCACAGAGTTGTTTACACATTTGAGCTGAGGTGGGTCATACAAGATTACCTTCGAGGAATATTGATCTACTTTGCATTTTTAGCATGGCTTTATGGATGGCAATGCCTTTTGGTGTAAATATGACAACTGCCGGACAGATTACCGTTCAATTTTTTTTCATTGATTGACTTTTGTGATCCCCTATCTTTTCCTCCAACACCAGGTTTTAAGAAATGTCTCAGCTGTTGAATGTCATGAATCATGCTGATTTTGTTAATCTCTTCATGTCAAAATTTTAATAGGACCAATACTACAGCCTCACTTGTACTTTGTGTTTCGTGTTAATTTAGGGTGACCATATTTTTAAACCCCCGATCCGGGACACTAAAGTCTACCACATATTCATACACGTGCACATGTATGCGCTTATGAAGCAACTTAGGAGTTTTTATCAGGATAAGGGACCATTATTTCATCCCTTAGCACACCTACCGAGCACACCTTTCAACACCATGGATGCCATGAACACAGAATTTTCATTGCTAGTTACTTCACGAAGGAAGCAGTAAGCCTCCTGGAGTGTCATTACACTTCCCTTTGACTCATAGGCTAGCAACCATAGACGGTATCTAGCAGCCTTGACGACACACTGATTGATTGACACACATACAGTCATATCAGTGTTGAATTCAGTGCGTTCAGTGTTTTTATATTGGGTTAGGTAATAATTGGGAACATGATAAATGTAAATGCTAAAAACAAGTACAATATTATAATAATTATTTTAATTGTGATGAAAATTTGTTGCGACTCAGGACACCCAGCTGGAAGCAGGGACAATCTGGGACAAACCGGGACGTCTGGTCACTGTATGCTAATTATCAAATGCTAACACGTTAAACTAATGGTAAAAACTATAGGTGCTAAACATCAGCATGTTAGCATTGTCATTGTGAGCATGTTAGCATGCTAACGTTATTTAGCTCAAGCACTATGTACAGCCTCACAGGACCGTTAACATGTCTAACAATACTGCAGCTTATATTTCACATTGTTTCTAGAGTAGTTTTTAATCAATTTTACTCTGTTTTGTCATGTAAAACTTTCCTCTCTGTTCAGCAGGTGGTTAAATAGTAATAGGCCATACCACCAGGTAACTATGTGAAGATGAACTGGTGGCCTCTGTACAGCACAAACACCCAGGTGGCCTGTTTGTGTCTGTGGCACCTGAACTGTGTGATGTGGCAGGAATACACACCGCAGACTGCAGCAGCCAATAGCAGACAATGAAGCTTGACAGCCTTTCACATCAGCACGAGTTAACCAGCTGTGAAGAGAACACCTGCCGCTGATTAATAAAGAATCACAGCAACAATGCCATGTGTGAAAATTGTTGTACTGATTGTTGAACTAACACCATTACCCCCAAAAGGTGAGGCAGGGGGGTGAAACAATACATCTCTCTTGAGTGTGGAAGAGAAAAATGGTGGGACAGCATAACAGTATAATGTTCTCACTTGTTTTAGGACCTCATGTAGTACTACAACAGCTATTTTCTTATTATGATTCTTTTTGCTTTTACCAAACAATTTCTATATTGTTAATGATCTTAACTCATGACTTTAGGGAAGGAGGTTTTATAGAACTGTAAGAAAGTGAATGTTTCTACAGTAGTTCAAATGTGAATTAAATAAAAAAAAGCAATAAAAAAAGGCTCTCAACCATATATTGAATGTAATTTTCTTTATTGTCATGGAAATAGCTCAGTTGTATGGAACGTCACGTGATTATTATGATTATTATGACTGAAGTTATGGACTTGTGATGAAAACTGGGCAAACTCAATCTGCTGAAGAAGGTCACAAGACATGATTGAAAGCATGGGGGGAAAGCTAGCGGTTAAGATTTCCAAGGTAAAGAAAGAACGTTCACGCTCAACTTTGTCCCCAAATACTTAGCAAATTCTTCTAATTGGAAGCTGTTTCATGGCTCCATCTCCAAGTTTCTAGAGAAACAAGTTTGTGAAAATAAATGAACATTTAATAAAATAATGTGCTCTATTTATGAGAATATATTTCTATTACATTTTAAAATAATATGTTGAAATGTGTTGAAATTACTATTGTTTGGGCTATAAAAAAACTTATATAGGCAAAACTTTGATAATTTATTACTCAGTTCCTCTCACAAGAACATTAGAGCCATCAGGTCAGCACTGGAAGGCATAAACATCCTCCCTCTTCCCTCTCTCCATCAGATTTGTAAAGCTGAGTCTTCAAAGACGAAGCGGAGGCAAGTTTCCAAGTTTGTAATCGAGTCTGCCTCTGACTTCTGAGCTCTCTTGGCCCCGACCATCTTCTTTTTCCTGAGGACCAATAATAACATCATCTTTTCCTTGCTTGCTTTGCCGTGGCATCATTTTGATGTACTCTCCAGTAGGCAAGGAAGAGAGGCTCTCTGGAGATAGTGTGTCCTCGTATGTTCAATCGTTCGCTTTCGTTTATGAATTCATTGGCCAACATGGTATAGCCCAGAACAGTTTTCAGGGACATCTGGGGAACCTTAGAAGACAAAGTCGCTGCAGTAGATCATTATTGATGGAACTATTGCAGCCCACAAATCCAGCTTCGCCTAGAAGTGTCATTAAAGGTGAATCCCTGGGCATTGATTCAAACAGGCCTAATTGCTTTTGAAGTACAGTAAGCCAGGAGCAGATGATCTGTCTAGGCTTTCTCTGACATTTTGCTTCTCACATACTCTTGTTTTAAATGCACAGAATCGTCATAACATCATCACAAGGTTAAAAAATGTACAGGCATGTGGCTCAGTGACACTGGTAAATTTTGATTTTGATGTTGATTATACTTTTCATTCTCAACGACCTTTAAAGTCAAATTTAACATTCATTTGCTTCTACATACGTTTAATAACTCAATTTTATTTAATAGCTCAATTTCCCATTCAGTATTTTTCTACAAACTAATTAAACTCATTTGCTGGCAGAAGGGGAAGTGATGACACACTGTACAGTGTTGATTTGAGCAGAGTTGGCAACTCACTTTCAAAATGTGAACGTGTGTTTAAGTTCTCGGAATTAAAACAGGCATATAAAAACTATCAAGGATCTGCATGTGACTTTCCCCTGTTTTAATTATACAAATGGGAAGATCCTTTAGCTCTGCCTTGCTTGTGCTCGCTGTGCTACCATTCATGTTCTATTCTTATATCTTCATATTCATGTTTGGGTTCAACGAAAGGTCGCCTTCACGCTAGTTTTGTGTTACTTATCCCATCAATCCAATTCACACCTGCCATGGAACGAGGCTCTTCAAAATTTGATGAAACAACTGCCTGCATTGAGTCAAGCTAATAATAGCAATACAGGGAAGGCAGCTTCTCTATGAATACTGTGGTTGGCTGTGAGAGGGATAACAGCTACAGTATGTTGTTTATGATCATGTCATATTTTAAAGTTTACCTTAAATAATGCTAATTGGAATTATAACTTATTATAATGAAATGATGCCGTTCTTCAACAGTCCAAGTTGACGAAATCTGATTTTAACTG